ACACCTGTTGATAAGTGGGCAACGCATTGCCTTATCAATGGTATCGGGCGCCGAAATCAAATTGATTTATTAACGATTTCCCAGTGCTAAAAATACAAACATAAATACTTTGTGCATATAGTGAAAATTTCTTATACACTTTTCGCTCGGAAGTAAAAACTTCCTGCTATTCAGAATTTTTCTGAAATGGAAGCATAGTCTTAAGCAATGGCTTTAACATTAACAGATCTTAATCAAAATGATATATAACAATATTTTATTTTCATTGTACGCATTGACAGATTAGCTAGATTGTTAATCGAATGAAAAGTGAAACGAATCCACGAATTTTCCACGAAAAAATGTGGTTTTTCATTGCGGATTCGTTGTCTTTAAGAAATCGCCCAATTTTAAATAAGAAATTATTCTCTTAATTCTTGAATTTCCCAATTTTTGTAACAAAAGTTTCTCGCAAATAAAAACTAGTTTTGCCGCCGCGTGGTTCCACTTAGCGAGTGCACACTGTACACGTTAAATATTCTGTGGAGGACCACCCATTGCGATTATGAAGATGCCACGTTAAGGACTCAAGGACAGCTCAGCTGCAATCTTTTTTGCGTGTGTTTACACTTAAAATTCAAGTGTTTGTCGCTTCTTCCTTCCGCCTAGGCAATTTTCTACGAAAAGCAGTTCGTTTTTCATTGTGAATTCGTTGCGGTCAGCGAGGAGAAGTGCGCGGGCGTGTCGAAGACAATTCATCGAGCACTCGAGCTGAACAATTAATGCGAGGACCACCAACAGTTCGGGGATTCATTGTTGCAACAGGTAAGTTTGGGTTTAGGTTTGGGCTAGGGATAAGTTAGGCTCAGGTAGCTGTAGCTTAAGAGCCCAAAGATATATCCCACTTTTCTTTCGACTCTACTTTAGCTGGGCTCTACTCATGATAAGATGCGAGAGAGAGGGAGAGAGATAGGCAGAGCGAGAGAGAAGCGACGGCAACTTCCTTTTTTGGACATTACGCAATCCGCTTCTTTTTTTTTTCTGCAGCCGAAAAACTGTTATGTCTCACCACGCAACGTGCACACCCTACCCTAGCCTGGCCCCCTTGCGCGATCTATAGGTTTTTTTGTTGTTGTTGTTGTTGTTGTTGCTTTTTACCAGTGTTGCAAGTAGAAAGAAAATTACCTAATTGTGTTGCATCGACAACGAGCAACAGCGACTTTTTTCCACAACATTACTCTACTCCACTTCTTGCTTGGCCACACAGCGTACCCCCCACCGCCCCTTCCTCGTTACCAGCGTTAAATCTCTTCAGCTGCGGCTCCTTCGTATGTGTGCCACATGCTCCAAAGGAAAATTAAAAATGTGCCACAGACACAAGAAAACGGCGGGCATATACACACATATATCTATGTTTTTTTTCTTTCAGTTAGTTAGTTAGTTAGTTGTGCTCTTTTATTGTTGTTGTTTGCAGTTGCTTTGCCCGCTGATTCGTTTGTTTCTTTCTCTTTGGCGTCGTTAGATAATAGGCAACAACAAGAGGAGGCACCGTTAAAACTGAACCCCAAAAGCCATTTTGTTGTTGTAGCGGTTGTTGTAGTTGTTGTTGCTGCTGCTGCTGCTGCAGTTGTTGTGTCGGCGGCATAAGTCAAGCAAGACTTCCTATATTTTGAAACACGTTACGTTCGTAACATAATTCACACAACAGGTTACTTGGTTCGCCTCCTCGCCGGCCATGGCAACAGCATATCGTCTCTCGCTCTTATGCGCTCTCTTTCTCTCAGCAGCTTTGCGGCGTTCGAGTTCGAATTCGAGATCGAGTGCTGGGAAATGTGTGCGGTTGTTGTGAGGCTGGGAAATTATCTGTGCATCGGGAAATTATTGATGCCATTGTTTAACGCATTTCCCCATTGCAAGATCATTGTTAAAACTAATAAAACTCGGTTCTTAATATACTATAACAAGTGTTCGATCAATTAATTGCGGGTCATCAACTTTTATATACCCTATAAAATCATAAATTCATCAAAACAACAATTTGACCATTTCAAAAAAAAAAAAATATATACATAGATAAGATCGATTCAAAATTCAATATCAGATGGTATTAAAAAATTGTAAAAGACAAAACGCAAAGCGTATTTTGTTTTCGGCAACAATTAAAATGAAACCTGTGGATTTATTGATCTATAAGCACCTCAGTGGGAGTATTAAATATTTAAAACAAGTTTATTTGCGTTTGGCACAAGAGAGAGAACCTATTTTATTAGCTCGAACACTCTAACTCTCTCCCTCTTTTAACAGTTATATAACTTTGTGTAATTTTTATCATACCCTTATTACCCATTTTATGTTTGGCATATAAAAAAAGGCAATATAAGCTGCAGTGTGAGGAAAGCTTAGTGCTGGTGTTTTTTTTTCCACACGAATTCGCACGATCTTTTAATAGTGTTGAAAGATACGCGGCGATAGCTTACACGCACACACATGCACACTTTCTTGTGCGGCGAATTGGAGACAGCACAATGGAAGCTGTGAACATTTATGGCAAATTCAGGTTAGTGTGATTTTTGTGCACTATAAAATGGGTCTTTGTTGTTGCTGCCGCTGCACAAGTGGCTGTCATAATGTTAACAAGTGTGTGTGTGTGTGCGCGCGTGGTGCAAAGTGTTCAAACAATACGTGAGTGTGTGAGTGCATATTGCAAAACATCAATATAGCACTCAGCAACAGCAACAGCAACAGCAAAAACAACACACACACAATGGCTACATCTGCGCTGGGCGATAACACGCAGCAAGAAAATCAAATAACAACAACTACAACAACAGCTAGCAGGCCAGCAAATACAATTGCTATGCGCGCTACTTCCGCATGCAAGTTTAAACAACTAAAAGTCATCGGCGTCAGCGGCAAAACGAAAAAACAACAACAACAGCAACAACAACAACAGCGGCAGCAGCAAAAGAAAAAAATTGCGACTGCGACTCATTCTCAGTGCAGTTGGCGTGTGCATGTATGTATATGTGTGTGTGTGTATGTGACTGTGACTCAAAGATCGTTGAGTAGCATAAAAAGAAGAAGCAAAACGCTGAGACAGCAGCCAAGCCCCAACAGCAATGACAACAACAACAATAAATGCGCATTTTAAATTGAGCGAGCCTTAAGCCCTTCAGACTCAGATCATATTTATTAAAGAGCAGCGCAAAAGAGAGCAAGCGTCACAATTGCTTTACTTTTCATTATATTACTGTTGTTGTTGCTGCTGCTGCTGCCGTCGTTTGCATTGGCATTTGCTTCCTCTTTCTTTCGTTGGGCTGCTAGCCTTTGCCTTTACGCCGCCTCCTTCTACCTGCTGCGCTGAACACTTTTTATACCTGTTTCTGCTCTAGCAAGCCATACATACACATAAACAATTGTCTTTGTGTGTGTGTGTGTCTCCCCAATTGCCATGCTGCTGACCCGAAAGATCGTCGTCGTCGCTGCCGCTCTCTTTTGGTTTTGCTTCCGTACACTTAGTGCTTTTGCTCTTACGTTAAGGCGTCGCGCGTCTCTTACGTGTGCCACACACTCACCCGTTACGTTGCGTCGCTTTTGTGGAGCAATGCGGAAGTGAATTTAATTTATTGTATTTACGCTGGCTTTTTCTGCCCCACAGACAGAAGCAAACAGTCGGACGTATAAACAGTGAGAACCAGGAAAGTTAATGGCTCTACACAGCTAGAAATCCATAAAATAGCTGTTTCAGTTGGAGAGATGTCTGTTTTGTGCTTGTGTGCGTGTGTGTGTGCATGTGTCGACATATTTCTACGTTTTGTTTCGTTTTTCGCTAATTGGAGAGCCGAACATGTTAAATAAATAACACGCACACGCACACACACACACAGTTATATATATTTATGTACATATGCACATACATACATGCATACATACGCGCACACATAATCAAATTTATCGACGAAAATCTTAGCTCTCCACAAAGGGAGCAACGAGGGAGGGATGGGGGGGAGGGGTGTATAGCAAGATCAGGTGCGCTGTCGCCGCCACCCAAACAGATTGAGCTTTTTTTATGTTATGAGTGTGTGTGTGTGTGAGTGTGTGTTTGTAGCTATACCAGAAGCAGGAACTGTTCGCTTATTCGTTTCAGCAGCAGCAGCAGCAGCAGCGACGTCGACGTCGACGGCGGCAGCGACAGCAGGCGCACAAATAAACAGAATTCTGCTGCAGCAGCAGCAGAGCGGGCCGCGCGATAAGATTTCGCTGACGTACGCTTCAGAAGAGACACAGTAAAAATGCGGCAACAGGCGGCGAGAACAACAACAACAACAGCAACAGCAACAAATAAGAACCGTAACATCAACCCAATTGGAGCTTAACGCTCCGCTTTTGTTTCACTTCCATAGAAAAAAGTGCATGCAACAAGAGACCCGTCGAACCCAAAGCAAACCCAGACCAAACCCCCAAGAAAAATAGCCCGAAACGAGCCCGAAAACCCAGTCGAGCGATTGCCTTCAATATGGATCAACATATTTGTACAGTGGTACCTCACGTATAAAGAAAACCAAACTATTTCAATTAAATATTTAACATGAAATATTAACTGTAAAAAAAATAATGAATTTTGGTATTTATTAGAACTATTTTCTGAACAAATTCTTTAATTACGATTACAGTAATTTTTTAAGGGCGTTCTCATACGCGAGTGACTACTGTGAAATGTGTACAAAACAGTTATAGCGTAAACTTTATGGGAACTAAGCACAGCATTTCTAGGTTAGGTACATTTAGTACAATCAGTGCATCAGTGCTTCTTCCTCGTTTTGCTTTAATCTCAATTGATTAATGCCTGAGTGTCATTTGAGAGGTGTGAAATCATGAGTTCCGTATGGAAAAATAAATAAAGACAAAGATGCGCTTTTTTCAACTGTTTAGAAAAAGCTATTTCATGTTTATTTTTAGGCGACAGATTCTGTTTTTTTTTTTTTTTTTTTATTAAGTTAGTAAAACAAATCCACAGTCTAGAAATAGACTGTATCTAATGAAGATAGTGCGCTCTAGTGTTGTAAAGGGCTCAAACAAAGTTGCATTTATCTTGGCTAGAAGGAATTGAAATTTGTTGACCTCAACAAAAAATAAGAAAAACCTGAGAAATCGTTGTTAATTATTTGTGTACAGATTGTCGGAACATGACAGAAACAATAAAAACGCAGCGTATGTAGACAATTCAAAGAGATTACGTTAAAATTTATCATTTTTTTTCGGGTGACAACACTTGCAGGGCCATATCGGGAGGGGAGGAGGCACAGAATTGTGTATCACATTAAGTGTGAGATGAAAGAAAACATATGGAAATGAGAGAAGGTCAGAAATACAAGTAAAACGTGCTGAAGAAAAAACAAATGTGATTGTGTATAAAAGATGTGTGCAGTGAAATCTCTTTTTCCGAAACAAACAAACATCGAAGAAAATGGGAAGAAGAAAATGGAAAATGATTGTAAAACGACGACGACTAGAAATCTGGAAAGAAAATGTAAGTCTTCAAACATCCATTTTCAATTATCATTATCAGTAGATTAGAAAAATGTATAAATCAATTTCGGTTTTCCTATATTATATTTCTTGCCATATCTTTCTTAAAAATAAGTAAATTCCTTGCTTACCTGTTTGCTTTTGCTCCACTGTGCCGTGACGTAGTTCGCTGTAGTTGTTGTTGTTATTGTAATGCCCGTTGTCTGTTTGCCGTTCTTTTAAGCTTAAAGCTCTCAGCGACAGCGCGGAACGCGGAAGCGGATATGTTGTCCAGATGCAGAAAACGCGCGTTACACTTGTTGTTAATGTTAATGTGTTGTTGCTTCTGATTGCAGTTCTTCTTCTTCTTTGACGACGCTCGCCTTAACTACAACTGCTGCACTACTACGTAACGTTACGTTAACCGAACGTCACGCGACGTAATGCATGCACTTTGCTGCTGTTGCTGCTGCTGCGGCTGCGACGACTGCCGATTTCCTGGTTCTGCTGAGACGCGTCGTCGTTCGCTGCTACTGCGACGCGACGTCAAGTGGCCATTGTGAACTGACTTGGTAGCTGCGTTACGTTAATCCTGTGTTGACCGTTGCTTTTGTCGCTGCGCAGCGCTGCGCTGTGTTGCGCTCGCTTTAAAAGTGTTTTGTGTATGTTTTCTTATTTGCCATTGCAAGCGAATGTCAGCGCCAAAAGGGAATGGCGCACAGAAATGAACAAAACACAATAACAAATCGAGCGCAAGCTGGAGACGTTACAGAGGAAGAGCAGGCCGCAGCCACAAAGAGCACAAAGTACTTCCGTCTCTTCCTGCCTTACACACACACACTCACACACACACACACGCGCGCGCACACTTACGCATGCAAACACACAGCCGCTGCGCGTTGCACTTGTGCTGGTCCCTGCTGTTGTTGTCGTTGTTGTTGTTGCTGGTCTTGTTTCTTTGCTTTGGCCCTTTTTCACCCACGTTTCACATGCGCTGCGTACAAGTAGAAAGCACACAACAATAAAAAAACTGCTTCCTTTTTACTTTTGCTTGCACACTACTTGTTGTTGTTGTTTCTTTTATTTTTTTTGGTTGCGCTCTGTTCGCCTAATTTTTGTTTATTTCGTTTTTGTATATTTTGATTTGAGAACAGCCGCAAAAGGAAAACTTGGCATACACAGTTATTTAGCTATTCTTTGCTTTGTTACTCGTTCTCGTCGACGGCGGCGTCGGCGGCTTTTCGTTAGATTTTTGTTATGTTTTGATTTGTCAAGCGATAAATTCAACTTAAAAATTATTATTGCTGTTGTTGTTGTTGCTGCACTTGTTTATTTGTTTTGCTGCTGTTGGTGCGCGCGCATTGAATTGAATTCAATTAATTTTTAGAATATTTTTGCACAATTACAATTCGTTATTATAATTATTGTACAACAAATTTTTTTTTTTATTTTTTTTGTATTCTTGTTCCGCAGCAACACGTCCGCTCACCACGAAAGTTTCTTACGTTGTGACTCAAAACATGCGAGTAAGAAATAAACAAAGCAAACGACGAAAACTGAGACCGCGCGCGCACCAGAGAGCATGCGCATTTGAGCGCATGGCGAGCGCGAGCGTGAGCATTTAAGAGAGCATCATTGCCAAAGAGAAATGAAGAAATTTCAATTTATTTGATTTTGTTCTCAGTTTTCTTGTTCTTGTTTACAATATTTGTCTTCCGAATATTTGCACGTTGTTTATTTCCTTTAATATACATACATGTATGTATGCCTAGGTACAGATATTTTATACGAACATTGAGGTTATACTAATTAAAAAACAAAATATTTTCGTCATATATTCACTTGGTCAATATACAGGTGATCGTGCGATGCGAGCAATTAATATGCATAATTATAAGCTAATTGTTAATGTATTTCCATTCAGTGGGTTTCTGGCCGTGTGTTTAGTAATCGAATCAAGTCGAAAATGTTTTAATTATTTATAACCACATATACACACACATATATAAATTTGTTTATACATGTGGGATTTTGGCGTGGGCGTCGATTGACTTGTTAATCATCTGCGATAAAAGCGAATACAATCGCTTATCGATTAGCTAATAGAAGGTGGGCTGCCCCTAGAAACCAGTCGACCCAAACTTCAATTAACCAACACTGCTCAGCTGCAGCGCTACATTTCCGTTAAACAAAATTAAAAAAAAGCAACTCTTATTTGCCTACATAAATTAGCAGGCCACGACTTAAGAAGAGAGCCGGCGAGCAAGAGAGAGAGAGAGAGGGAGAGAGAGAGGGGGCGACAGGTTGCCATAAAAAGTAGCTAAAGATGCGCTCAGTTGCGTTGCACTGCATCCGCTTGACTTTTGCGCTGGGGATTTTTCTTTTTTCCTTACTTTGTTTTGTTTTTCTTATTTCATTTTAAAAGTTCGTTAACCAGTTTCCCTAAACATCGTTGACATTTGAAGTCAAATGCCCATAAACGGCGTCGATCGCTCAGACGCCCCCCCTCGCTTACTCTCCCTCTCCCTCTCTCTCTCTCTCTCTCTGTCGCACTGGCCCAAATTAGTAGATGTGGTTGTTGTTGTTGTTGGTTCTGGTGCGTTGGCATAAGCAAAGAGCGAGACAGCTGAGAGCGCGCGCGCGCGCGAGAGAGAGAGAGAGAGATAGAGAGAGGCAGCAGGATTGTGGCCGCGGTTCAGAGTTCAAATAGTCGTCCAATTGAGCCAATCAACATATTTTCTGCGATCAGCAACAATTCTTGTTATATTTTTTTTTTGTTCGCCATTCGCAATGGGCGCGTAGGCGTGCCGGTTGCAGGTCGTAGGTGGCAGTTGACGCGGCATCAACTTACTTAATTTTCTTGCCTGTGCGTGTGTGTGTGTGTGTGTGTGTGTGCGTATCGGTGTGTGCAACCTGCCGCCGTCAATCTGGCAAGTTTCGTCTGTGGCACGGCACGTCGCAAGTTCGATGCCCAAGTGCAGATAATACATTTAAATAGAATGCCACATACAATGTCCAGAGTTCGCTCTTGCCACACATAGGACTCACACTCACACACGCACATACATAGAAACAGCCCAGACACAATCCGTTTTGATGCGCACCCTGCGAATCCCCTGTTCTAAATATTGAGAGACACAGAAAGAGAGAGAGAGAGAGAGCGAGAGCGAGGGAGATGGAAAGAGACGTCGGCTCTATAAATAGTATTGCTTGGGCCCGGCGATCTGTCCCGATGCGGAAGTCTTCCAGACGCTTCACTTTTTGGTCATTTGCCAATCGCACAAATTATTAGCGTATACGTATTATGTGTGCATATTCCCAGTATGTCTGGAGCGCCAGTCAATTGGAATGCCAACGATAATGTACTCTATATTATATTTATAATTAAGTATAGAATATTATTTAAGTTCATTTAACTGTTTTTTAAGACTTGAGTCGAAGATTTCACCTCATGAATATGCCACAGAGTCGTTAATACTGACAACATTATCAACAGTCAATCAGTCGGTCAATCATCTAGTACGTCAATCAATCAGTTGGTCAATCAGTCAGTCAGTAAATGAGTTGGAAAGTCTATCAATTAATCGGTCAGTCAGTCAGTCGCTGGGTTCGTCTATTAGTCAATCAGTCAATGATTCAGTCACTGTCAATCAGTTAACCATTCAGTCAGTCAGTCAATCAGTTAGTCGCTCAGTCAGTCAGTCGAAAAATGATTCAAAAATTGTCAGTCAATTGATGAGTCACTCATTTACTTGCCCATCAATCAGTCTATCAATCAAACCATGCTGTCAGTCAGCTGGTCAATCAATCTACTGTAAAGTAAGTCAGTAACTCAGTCAATCAGTTGGAAAAAAATCGAATCAATTTGTCATTCAGATAGTTTAACTGGTTTCAGTCAGTCAATCAGCTAGGCTCTCAATCAGTCAGTCAATCAGCTAGGCTCTCAATCAGTCAGTCAGGACAAACTCTTTGCATAGATATTTCAAATATGTCGATAAATTCCGTAGAAGATGTTTCTCCACCTTATTCGAAATTGAGATTCAATGAAAATTGTTTCATAATTAACTCAACTTGTTAGACAAACCCTTGAGCGCAGGGGGGAGGGGGAGGGGCGGCAACATCCTTGGACCGCCTACACAGGAGCTGATACGAATTTCAAGCAGAAAACGATCCCAATGGAGGTGAAACAAAAGGTCCTTTCGTAACACGTAAAAGTAATTAAATTGAATATTGTTTTGGAAAGGATATTAAGTGCAGATCCTGGTTACCCTAATTGTTACACATTCCCTCTCCGGCAACAATGACTAATTGTACGATTTTTGCCGCCATAAAGGATCCTTTTGACAGTTGCCAGAACCGAGATCAGCTGGGTGTGTGTGTGTGTGCAGGATATGAGCCAGACGAGCTGAAAGGAAAGAAGAAACCGTGGGAAACGAGCCCAGGAACCAGAACCCCAGCGCCTGAAGGGCGCACTCAAGCAAGACACAAAGAACAAAAGCCTAAAAAGAAAAAAAAAAAAAAAACTGAAACGTGGAAAAACCGATCAAAAATCAAAGACCTGTGCAACGATCGCCCACAAATCGATCTACGACGCGCTCAGCACTTCGGTCCGATCCGGTCGGGTCCGGGGATTATGGCAACGTGGAATGCGAGTTTCGTGTTCTAATTTAGCGCACCGAAGCAGAACGCAAAGCAACAAACCCAGTGCCAACTTTAGGGGTTGGAAATATGCCGAGGATCGGCAGCGCATCGGGGCTCGATCACCACAAGTGCCTGGCCCCGAGCAGGTTGCTCGCCGCAGCACACATTGTTAACTCCGTTGAAAGGTTTCAGATTTCATGCAACGAGTGCATTGTGCAACTGAGACCGAGTCGAGGCGAGTCGAAGCGAAGCGATCGAAGTGCCAGATCGCTGCGGCGATCCTCGAGGCCAGGATAAGCAGAGTGTGCGTCCCCAGACGCTGCTTTGGCTTCTCTTGCAACGTGTGGAATGTGAAATTTTATCAATTAAATATCCACTGACACACACACACACACACACACACACACACACACACACACACTCGGAGTGTGGATGTTTATTGTAGATCAGCTTTGTATCCGTAGTTAAAGTCGTTGCCGCCCGAGGCGAAGTTGCAGCTAGATACCAGTGCTGCCCATTTCGCTGATAAAAGCCGTTTGGCTCTAGCGGGAAAAAGGCTATATGCGTTTGTTTGAAGAGAGAGCTCCAGCTGAAAGAGGCTTTATATATTTTAATATTTAATATTCTCTAGCTCTAGCTGAAAAAGGCTTTATATATTTTAATATTTAATATTTTTCAAATATGTTTTGTGTTAATTAAAACAAATGCCCATTGTGCTGAAAATACTGCAAACTTTAAGTATTTTTATATACAAAATGTGGGCTAGATTTCTTTTAACCATTGCAAAAAATGTAATTGGTTCAGTTCGGCTTAGTTTGGTTTATGGCTCAGCTATTGTCAACATATAAATTTGGATTTTAGTTTAGATTAAAAAAAAAAAAGGCTAAGAAATACGCTGTTAGATAGCCGCATTTGGCGGGAAACAAGCTGAGCTGGCAGCAAGGCTAGAAAAACACACACACACACACACACTTGGAAAATGCTCGCCACATCCGCTCAGCAGAAGGCCGCAAGATCTCGATCTTGATCTGAAACTCATCTCGATCTTTGTCTCGGTCTATGCCATTGGCTGCATTTCTTGGAAAACGTTTAAAAGCAGAACAAGCAACAAACAGCCGGGGCAGAGGCAGTGCAAGATGACGAGCCTGAAGATTGAAGCGTGGAAATGGGCACAAAACAACAGAGAGACAGAGAGAGAGAGAGAGAGAGAGGGAGAGCGGGAGAGGGAGGAAGAGAGGGAGAGCACTTGAAAAATGGAAAATGCTGTGTAATTAATTGCAGCATCAGTCGGCAGGTTTGCCTGGGAATTCTGCAAAGGAAGTTATCCTGGAACCCAAAAAAAAAAAAAACCAAAAATTAAATAATAATAAAAAAAAAACAACCGACTTGAAAATGACAAAGGAAATGCCTTGAAACGCACATAAAACCCGACTTTTTATGAGTCAACAATTCGAATGGGTCTTCAATTCTGTGAGAATTCACGCAAGCTGCTAAAAATAAAATTAGACTCCTTAGAACCAATTAGATGCTTACACATTTTATAGATAGACGATATATGGAAATATTATTAAGATAATAACATGATTTGATTTTCAGTCATTTTAACAGACCCAAAATTTTTGCTTGTCTCTTAAGAGAAGCAAGACTGGAAATCTTCTTCACGCCCAAGATTTAATATACCTGCTAGTTAATGTTTTTGTATAGAACAATTAACTGTTTTTTTTTTTAGATAGCTGCAGCAACATTTTAAAGCCCATTGACCCCATTGACAGATATTTTGTAAAACTTATCGCTAGTTTATACCCTTCGAAGGCAGATCCTGAAAATCTGTAAAGTATGAGAATCTTATTCTCTTCTTATTATTTTCTTCAATTACAACAGACTTCAGTCCCAAAATCTGTTGTAATTGAAGAAAATAATAAGAATAGAATAGGATTCTCATACTTTGCACTTTTTGTGCTCTTCGTCTGATCCCAAGCACCTGAACAGCGTAAACTTGCAGCGTGAACTCATCTCACACAGATTACGAACTGGATTACCTAAAAAAAATGCCCAGGCACATTAATGAGGAAGCATTGCGATCTCTGGCCTGAGACAGCAAATGCACTCAAACGGATCAGTTAACCGCGCCGAGCCGAGCCGAGCCGGGCCCGGTTGGGGCTCTTGGCCACCCGCGCACTCTTGGCTATTAACTTGCAAGCAAGTTTTGGCTATAAGAGTTATAAATTGATTGAGGCATATTGCCAACATATATCGCGCTGCCGATTATATAACTTCCTCAACAAACACTCCAGACGGACGCCGACTCGAGACCCAGTCCCAGACGTTAACCGAAAAGTGTTACAAACACGCTACCGTCTAACGTCTACCGTCTAACGGGTAGCCGGCAGAGACGGGGCTTCAGATACCCGAAACCCGAAAACCGAGACCGAAGCAACCGAAGCTAAGCGACATCGACACCAGCCCAAGCCCCAACAACTCCAGCGGCAGCTCCAGCAGCGACACCCACTGCCTTACATTCATAATCTATTAAAAAAACAATGCCGAGGAGCGACACAGCATCCGGAATTGTGATGCCAAAAACGAGGCGAGCGACTAGATCAGATTGTGACCGACTAGGCAATACCCTGTGCGCAAAATGTAATCAGTTTCGGAAGCTGTGATATCGATAATTATCGATTAAATAGCGGGATTTATATGATATATGATGCCAGTTGTTGTTTTCCTTTTTCCACTAGTAACCTAGAGATTTTGCTATAAAAATCGATACTTATCGATTTAGGCGATATGTTAGACAGATTCTCAAAAAATAGCTGCAAACATCAGCTGTGCATGATAAGCGAGAACCCAGAAGCCACACTGCTTATTTCTAGCCAACTTAGTCTGCGAGATATGCCTTTGAATGCAAGCTCCAGATCGATAAATATCGATAAATTACACAAATTAATGTTATCGACCAAATTAGATATATTCATTCTGGGTATACAAGCGTATCTCTAGCTGTTATATGTCTTCTCTGATGGATCGACTCGACCGTAGCTGCTGTTCACATATTTACAGGGTATAAAAGGCAAGAAAGCCAGAAAGAAGAGCTGAAGAATTCAGGTTTGCAATGCGGTAATGCACACACACCAAGCGCAGTGAGCGGGCAGCTCTGGTAAGTGGTTGCCAACCTGTCGACGCTCGAAGCTGGAACCCAACAGTGGGTCGAACGGTGGCCATAAATGGGTGGGCAGCACAAGAAGACGTTGAAGGAGGTGAAGGAGATGGTGCTACCGGCTACTGTGCCAGTGTTCCACATTTCGCATACGGAAATCTGGCGATTGGCGAACGTTTGTGGCATGCCAGGTCTTAGGCCGAGGCAGCGGCTGCGGCTAAGGCTGAGCTTTAGCATGACGACAGGTGGGGGTCCGGTTCAGTTTCTCACCAATCGACTGACCTGCCTCTACCGCTCTCGCTGTCTCTTTGTCTCCAGCTTGGCCTGGTCTGTTTCCTGCTTTTGCTTCGCATCTTTATGCGGTTCTCGCACAACTTTCACCTTTCACGTAATCTTTGGCCAAGCTACAGTCACAGCCGCAGCCTCAGCCGCAGTCGCAGCCTCCTCCAGGCCAGATCTAGCGACTCGGTCTGCGAGATTCGTTTATTGTTTTGCCATCTGCCATGCCGAAGAGTATGGCTCTACCCAGCTCTGTTTATGGCCTAACATCTAGCGGTACATTGGCCGCAGCCTATTCCAACGGTTGTGATTGAAGCTGGCCAAATGATTGCCGCAAATTACATACCCATATATCCACTTAGCCGGCAGACGAACAGCTTGAACTTGCGATGTTCCTTATAAATTCCTAAAAGTTGCACCAAACTTAATCGTAAGATTAAGATTAATTGGAGAGAGATTAGCCCTAATTAGAGTAAGAGAGAAATAGAGAGTGTAAGGGAGAGAAAGAGAGAGCAAAAGAGAAAATGTTAGGCGGAATGAGAGAGAGAATGTAAGAGAGAGAAAGAGAGAATGTAAGAGAGAGCGAGAATGTAAGAGATAGAGGAAGAGAGTATATCAGGGAGAGGGGAAAAGAGAAGCAGAGAGAGAGAGAGAGAGAGAGAAAAAGAGCAACAGAGAGAGAGAAAGAGAGTAACAGAGAGAGAGAGAGAGGGAGAGAGAGAGAGAGAGAGAGAGAGAAAGAGAGAAAGAGAGAAAGAGAGAGAAAGAGAGTAACAGAGAGAGAGAGGGAGAATGTAAGAGAGAGAGAGAGAGTATAAGAGAGAGAGAGTAAGAGAGAAAGATTGTATAAGAGAGAGAGAGCGAGTAACGGAGAGGGAGGAGAGTGGGAGAGAGAGAAAGAGTGATTAGGAGAGAGAGAGAAAAGAGAGTGTAAGAAACAGAGGGTAAGAAAGAAAAGGAGAGTTGTAAAAAAGAGAGAGATCGAATTAGAGTGCAAGAGTGTGTAAAAGAGAGAGAATGAAATATTGTATAGGAAAGAAGCAGAAAAAGCAATACCCAGAGAGAGGGAATGAAATATGGAAGAAAGGGGGGAGGAGCGAAGGAAATTATAAGAGAGAGAGCGCGAAATATAGTAAAATTTAGAGCCAGAGAGGAAGCGTGGGAAAGAGAGGGCGTTAAATAATAAAAGAGAGGAAGAGACAGCGATATAAAAAGCGCAAGAAAGAGAGTTTACGAGATAGAGAGAGAGCGAGAGAGAGAGAGAGACAGGCAGGGTGGTAGGGAGTATAAGGAGAGTTAAAAGAGAAGCGAAACATAGAAGAAAAGTGAGAGCGAGTGGGAGAAAATAAAAGAGAAAATAAGTGAGTGAGCGAGAAAATGAAGAAGAGTATAATAACAAGAGGGAGAGTAAAAGACAGAGACAGACAGACAAATTAATAGACTGAAAAGGTAAGAGCGGAGTTTTAGAAAGAGAGAGAAATTGTCAGGGAACGAGGGCAAAGTATGGCAAAAATGAAAGAGAGTGTGGGAAAAAAGAATCAAGAGAGAAAATGAGAGAGTGAAAAAATTGAAGGCAAGAGAGTTTGAAAAATGGATGAGAGATTACTCCCTTCTCAAGTGATAAGGTAAGAAGAAGTAGTTGAGTAAGACTAATAAGTAAGAGAGCTTAAAAGTGGAGGGAGAGAGAGATAAAAATAACAAGATTGTGCGAGAGAGATAAAATACTTTAGCGGGAGAGCAAATGACGCAGAAAAACTAAGAAAGGCAACATCGGCAAGAAGAATGGTAAAAAAATTGAACTTTGGAGAGAAAAAGAAGAGAGAGCGTGAGAAAGAGAGCGAGAGAGAGAAAGAAGAGTGAAGGCAGAGCGAGTAAACAGTTGGGAGAGAGAGTGAGTACAAAAATAACAAAAAGATAAGGAGCTATAACTGAAAAACATTGTCTCGTTCATGCTTGCAGAATTATTAATTTAAAAATAACGTACGCCCTCCTCTGCGCTTCTCAAAAGTTCAAGTAGGGTCTGCCTATCTGGATGCCATTTTAGTGGGTTTTTTTCTGTGAAGTGATTAACAGTGGATAAAATGGATAATGTGGTGTTAAGGGAATATGTTGAAGAAACATTTTAAATTCAACGGCCGCCCTCCTCTGCGATTCTCATAAATTCAGGTAGGCCCTGCATAGATTTTAGCCAATTTTTAATGCATTTTTTTAAACTATTTAATTTGAATAATATTATAAATAATGATAGAAATTCTTTCCCTTTCTTCATAAGCACCACAAACTAACATATGTCTCTCAGTAGGAAGATATCATTCAATTTTTTCAACCAACTAGGTTAACGTAACCAAAGCTCAAATGAAAATTAAATGATTTCAGTAGAGCTTTAACCGCCTTTTAGCTTGGCTAACGCATAAATATGCGCCCCACCGGGGGCTCACCCATCAATTCCCAAGCCTTCCTTTTGCGGAAATGTAACCAGCATCGCATCGGGAATTGGCCCAGTCCATTGATATCGAAAACTTTGCTCATATCGCAGCTGCAGAAAATGGTTTTTGCTCGAAAGATGCGGAAATAGAGTATGGCATGGATATGGGGCGGTGGGTCGGCTGAAAATTAACTTTGCATGGAATTTAATTTACGTCCACGACGATGATTTCCTGCCAAAGCAGCCGGAGCCGGAGCTGGAGCCGGAGCCGGAGCTGAAGCTGCTTCCGTCATTTCCTTGATGCAAAGGTTTTGTGTCCCGAATGCCTTCCAGCCGTTTGGCACTGGCTGGCATCGAACGCCGGCAGCCAAGATAGAGCCCACCTCGCCCACGATACGCTTCCTGCAGGATGTAAAGACGTCACAGTCAGAGAGCGGCACAGTTAAACATGGCACAGCCAGCAGCCAGCAGCCTCCTGCGTTGTGTACATTTCAACGTCGGAGCTTCAACGTCGATTGTTTACCCACTTTAATCAGCCCACACGGCGCTGCGGCGTCCGAGCGCATGTTTGTGCTGGGCAAATGCCAGGCAGCAGGAGTCACAGTCACAAGCGTCCTGCCTGCCTGCCAGCCTGCCGCTTCCTTGCAAATGCTGCAGCTTCCGTTTCCGGGATATAATGTTCATATTTTCGAGGACATTTACAGGAAATAAAGTACGTCGCCCTCGCCTCGTCGACAACGTTTTGTTTGTGCCCGCCGTCTATGGGGTATATCACATGGCTCAGGACTTAACCCATAACAAACCCGCAACCCAACCCCCCCCCCCCTCCCACCACACCATTCAAAAGAAATAGAAGGAAAAGCCACCCAATGCCCAACACTTCCTCTTTGGGCGCAGAGCAGTCACAAGTTTGTGCCGTGTGCACATTTATGCCAGCCCAGTCGCAGCCCGACTGTCAGTCAGCAGTAGTTACCTTAGGCCCCCCAACGCCCACGCCCCCTTGCCTATACTCGCAGCTTTTCCGTGCTTCCGCAGTGGCAGCAACAGCAATAGCAGCAGGATGCCCGACTGCAGAGTACGTTTTGAATTTTGTCGCACTTCCTGTTACGGTCGCAGTGGGTGGGCGAGGGGCTGGTGGGCGGCTGCGCCCAGAGCTGTGCGCTTGAGCTCGGCTCACTGAACTAGTTCGGTGGCGCCCTTTATGCTTTGCCTCAATCAATTGTGACTTTAATGTTAGCATAAAAATAATAAGTCAAACTTAAGTTCACATTTAAACTGAACAATTGCTTGGAGTTGTGCACTTTGAGTTATTTATCTCTCGTGTCAAAGCAAATCAAATTAAAACAGCAGCAAAACAGGCAATTGAACGCTGCTGGAACTCACGAACTGACGAAGCGACTCGAATGAACAGTTGGAATGAACTAAATGAACAATGGGCATGAACAGAATGAACGATATTGTCAAATGTAGATCACAGTCAGTTCCGCGTCTAGTTCAAACGAACCAGCTGTGAACGATTTGGTGCAACTCTGGCGTGCGAACTTGTGGGGCGGGCCGCGCCATTTTATGTGGGCCGGTGTCCTGGCCCCAGCGCGAGCCGCGTGCTCTTCCGCTTTTGCTCTGTCATCAGCAACGTAATTTCCGCTCTGCCAGGCCCGGCTGTGCTTTGTGTCTGCGCGTGGGTGGGCCAAAAAAAAAAAGAAAAAAAAGAAAGCAAAAGCAAAAGCAAAATGCGAAACAAAAAAGGATTAAGGGCTGGAGAAAACTGTGTAGCCGAGACAAAAACTGCAGCGATTGACCTCCAGCCGGAGTTCATAAACATCAAGTGGCCGGCATATCAAATGGCCAATGGTTCGGGCAACAAGTGATCCGCTCCCAGTTGAGGACAGGTATCAAAAACAACAACAGCAACAACAACAACAACAACAACTTGGCAGTTCATCAAATTCTCATGTGACCAGAGCCCAAAAGGTTCAATTCGTTCGTTTCATACGAAATTTGATATGCGGGTCACATATTAATGACTTCTTTCATTTTACATAACACTCGATTCGATGAACTGGCGACAGCCCCCCCGCCCGGCCCCGCCCGACCGACTGCAAGCAGAGCTATTGCACCCAGCACTTGTTGGATTCTAGGGCTTGGCCGTTGCCGCCTCGGAAATTCCCATTCCACCCGATCGTGGCGACCCTTTTTGACAGTACCCAGTAACCAGGCGCGTGATGGAACGCCGGACAATGGAAGTGCCACCGAGGAGTGTGTGTGTGTGTGCGTGTGTGTGTGCCCCGCCTGGTTAGTGGCAACAGGTAGCGAGTGCATTTGTATGCAGCATGGCGGATGCGCCGGCCGAAGCGTTTATTTCTTCATTTGACGCAAATGATGTTCGACACAAGCCTGGAATGCACTAAACCGCTAACTAAGCACAATCCGAAGCCCGAATCCACCAATCCCCAAATCCCAAAACCCAAACCCAAACCCGAAGCCGAAGCCGAGAGCTGATGTCGAAACTGAAACCGAAGCTAAGCCAGAACCAGAGTTTTCTGACCGCAGCACGCAAAGGGAAAGGCAACCGACTGCAACAACAACAACATATGGCCAGATACACTGTAAGAAAAAGTATTGATAAAACTTATTGAAAATTATTTTGAGTGCAAGAACAAATTTAGAGAGCATGTGTCCTCTTTAAATAACAAAATATTTAAATGCACAAACTATTATAAAAATAATTGTTTACAATGTTAAAAATCGAACTTAAGGTCCATTTAAAAGACAGACTCGAACTTTTGAAACAATTATTTTTATAAGAGTTTCAAATATAATAATTAGTCAAATATCAATTTAAATGAAGCCGAACAAGATTTAAGATTTCTGTTAGAGTTTTCAGAACTTTCTCTACCTTCTCCTCGACGACATCAAATCTCTAACCCTGCAGCTGAGCTCAGTTAAGTAATATATTAGTTTTTATATTATAATAAATAACAAAATTCTGTTCTTTTTAGAAAATTGTGTTGATTTTCCGAAAAGAAACTTACTTTGTGACAAAAAATTTCTCGCGGTGCATGATTCTTGTTATTTGAAACCCGGATTTAAACAGAACATGAAAAAGAAAGAAGAACGAGCCACAAATTACTTTTACCGATCACAAACACACAACAACAACAACAACAAGAAGAACAAGAGCCAGGCGAGGAATAAGAACATGAAGACGCGGAGAATGACGACGATGATGACAAGTCGAAGTGAAGTGGACACCAGCTGAATGCAAATGCATAAATTAAGCGACAAGCAAACAAATTTCCTATGTACAAATGCACTTGTCCAAAGGTTGGGCACAATGCCCGATCCTCAATATGCCATGCCCACGCATCCATTCGCGGCCCAAACAAATTGTGCATGCAAAACCGAATTCTCGACAAGAATATGGGCATTATTATTATGGTATTATTTTGTTTCTTGTAAGGCCGCCAAGCCGGATGAACTTATTGTTTATGACAATTTTGTTGATGTTATGCGGAATTCCGAAAGAAACATGGGCCAAGGCGTTGACAGCCTACAAAGTAACTTGTTAAGCGATTTTTGATTCTCACTGCAAGCAAGAAATATGGCAAATAGCTATTGTTACGACTGAGGATTCGAACCTTTAACCAGATTTTCACTAGTTCAAACCTTAAACCTTATCATAAACACTTCAATTGAAAATTAAAAAAAAAAATGATCTAATTTTCGCCTATTTTTAATATAAAAAAAAGCAATTCAAAATTATTCGAACTCTTTAACTAATTTTTCACAGGTTCAAACCTCAATCTCTTATCTTAAATACTTCAATTGAACATTTTACAAATCTATATTTTTTGGGCTTTTACCTTGAAAATAACATTCAATTTTAAATGATAAAAAATTGTTTAAAAATAACCGAAGTTTCTATTCTAAGCGAGAATATTTGTTGATCAAGAATTGGGTTTTCAAAATTCGATGGTTCATCCTTGGCTGTTATTTTTTTGAAATTGGCTCCGAACTAGTTCATGGCGGGAAATTCAAACACTTTATGCACAATTAACCATTCATATTGTCGGCACTGTGCAGTCCTTACTGCCACCTATCAAAAGGAATTAAGCTTTAATGAAAAATTGCATTGAATTTCAGTTATATAAAAGTGATAACTTTTAATGTTTTTTTTTTCGTTTGTTTATATTGCAAATAACTATAACAAAACAATAATTAATTGAACAGATTTCAGTAAAATCGAAGCTTGTCAGTGGAAAAAAGCTGTTGTAGTGCATTCCTGTGTTGGCACCGTCAAAGAGTAGTAAACTATTCGACTACACTAAGCTACATGTAAAATATATATATATGCATATATGTTTATATATAAGTAATGTGCACTTAAATTGTCTAGCAAAAATTGTAACACTAAAATAATTCACAATCACTGCTTAACTAGTATATGTAGAAATTGGAAGCTTATCAAAAATCGTACAAATTAAACATAAAACTTATGTACACAAAGTGCTGGGCCCTAGCAGCTGTTTTTTTATCGTACACTGCCCAGTGCCGGATCAGAGCAGCAGCAGCAGTCGATCGTACAGTGTGGATGCTGGCTGCAGTTTGGCCAAATCTCAGAGGCCCGTATGGCTCGTCTGCAGCTGCTCAATGGAGATGGACAGCTGTTCGAGGCGCTGCATTAGCTGCAGCATATTCTCCTGCGCGCGACTCGTATTGAACTCGTTGCCATGCTCCAGTGAATCCTCCTCGGCGGCGGCCAGCTCAAAATGCAATTTAGCCAAACTTTCCTGTTGTTCGCGTATCTTGGTCATCTGGTCCATGGTGCAGCCAGAGCCTGCAATGCAATCGATTAGAATGCCATTTAAATCCATATACAAAATGCATACCAAATGCCTTCAGTTTGCCGGAATGAAAGTCATCGAGTAGTCCCAGCAGCGCACGCTCCATATGCTTCACATCGGGCACTTCGGAGACAAAGGAATGATGTTTAATCGGACGATCGTCGAACTTATCGCTGTGGACGCTCGCGTTTGCCATTGGGATTGGCATCTGCAGCGGCGGCGGCTTTGTATTTGTGTTGTTGTTGTTTGATTTTGTGCTATCATTGTTGTTGTTGTTGTTGTTGGGGATGGTGTTGTTGGTGTCTGGGGTTAGCCACTCGCTGCTGACCAGCGTTATGCTGTTCAAGCTGTGCTCGCTGCTGTGCGTTGGCTCCAGCTGACGGTTGCCATCTGCATGTGCCATGACAGCAGCAAAATCATAAGAACCATGAAAATAAATTGAAAAAAAAAAAAATAATAACAAAACAAAAACAAAAAATGCCACAAAATCAAATACAAATAAAAAGCTCTGCCTGCAAAAATTAAACTTAATAAATGGATGTTTTTAAACAAACCCCAAATTGTCTATATATAAATGTGATATGTGATCCTTTGGCTGACCATATCAGTAAAGCATATTGTTAAGAAAACAGAATTCGAGCACACACAGTTTTTCAATTGCCTTAAAATTAGCCTAAGCTTTGAACACCTTTGCTAAATCAGGACTTGTTGCCTAAACTTTTTGTCTTAAATTGTTTAACTATGAACATTACTACGACAACTTTTATATATTTTGAATGACATCTTTTTTGTACACTAATCAAAACTTTTAGCTTCTATATCTGAGCGCCTGTCCATTTGCTGGGACTAATATTTAATGCGCTTACAGCAAACACACTTTAAATCTTTGCTCAACAAAGCACATATAACCAGGTACTCAACACCTGTATTTAAGGTCAAACACATTATAATTAACGATTCGCTGCACACTTGAATGCTCCTCTATGAGCTCTTATATATTCTAATTATACGCTAACGCTTCTTCTCAATTAAAGTAATTTTTAACGAACGCAAAGCCAATAATAATGATGACAATATTTTCTAAAACATGTAGCACACAAATCTAATTATAAAGCTGCAACTGGCGCCGCACAGCACAAAAGGCCAAGTGCCACGGACATGTTGCCTGCCGCCCCAAAGGGGGTGTGTGTGTGTGTGTGTGTGTGCGTGTGTGTGAAAGTGATATATATTGAACATATGGTGTGGAGTGCGTCATAGCCAGATTGGCTTATCAAGGCCGCCGCTAAAACAGAATTAACACGGAACTGTGCTCCTCTTGGAACTCGTGCGTCCACAGCGACTGCCAGAGTATGGGAAGAAAAGGAAAGCAAGTATTTGGCCAGTGTCCGCTTTACCTTTAAGCAATTTGCGTGGACGTGTTTTGAATTCGAAGCGCTCCTCGCCAGCCGCATTGCTGCTGGGTGCGTGCGGGCGTGGCCGGCGCTCATTGACGTACTGCACCGTGGTTTTGGCTGAAGGCGGTTGCTGTTGTCCCTGGCCCTTCTCTGATATGGTGCGCTCAATTGAGCAGGAGGCAGAGTTGCGGCTACGCGTTGTTTCGCCGCTGGAAATGCCTTTGATCTGAGTGATAAACAAATCCTAATTGAAATGGGGATGGGCGGAAAATTGTGTATTTTGGGCGTGTTCCTTACATTGATCTTTGGCACAGCAACGGGCGTGGCAGGTGTTTGTGCTGATTTAGCTTCCTCCTCGGTCTCCACATCGTTTGGCACCAGTTTTTGGCGCTCCACAACCTCATCGTTTGGCTCCATTTGTAAATTATTTATGTTTTTAAAACTGTTTTTCCCAGCACAAAAAAGATTGTTGGCTTTGTGTGCGTTTAACCATTCACAGTTTGCGTGCACAAGCAATCAGCTGTTAACAATTTAGTGTGACCACATGTTGAACAGACTTAACCAGCACTGAATGCAGTTCGCACAGGGCGCTAGCTACAACTAGCCACGTTGGCGCCAAATTCAAATAAATCAATTTTAGTTTCAGTTAATTTTATTGCACATATTTAATCGGCTATTAAAGCTATTTGCTATTATGCCTTCTTCTTGGCAAAACCCATTGTGTAGATCATGTGTACAATGCTCACTAAGCCCACGCCGCACAGAGCTGCAGTAATGCCAAATAGAATCTTGTCGGGGGGTCCGCCCTTAAGGAACACGGGCAGATCATTGTGAGCCTGTTGAAATTGATGTCAATCAACTGTTTAAATATACAAAATATAATTGCTTAACATGCCTGGAAAGTCTTCATTTTGCTAGCCAAACCCTCGGGTAACGCCATTATTTCGAATAGGTATTATGTAATGGCTGAAAATGCATTAATTGCAATAATTAAAGTGTGTTAAAACGGAGCAAAACTTATTTATGCAGTCACAATTACTAGTTAGACTCGTGGTGAATTTCCACATTTTACCAGTAATTTTTAAACTGCATATTAAAGAACTTACCCTTAGACAGAACTTCTTGTATGCTGCAACAATTTCAGATACTGCAAACTGTTAAAAATAGAAATAATTCACAGTTGGCGTGCAAACTGCAATTGCCAGCAGCCAGTGTTGCCAGCTGGCAGCGTTTTTCAGTTCAAAAAAGCCAAACTCGCATGCCACAACAATCAGAGAAAATGGCCCGCAATCGTCGCAATTCAAATTAGGCGGCATGTGAACGACCGAGGGACGTTGTGAACGTCCGTTTTTCGATTTGTACGGTTCCGTTCGCGCTATTTTGGCTTTTTGTGAATTTTTCAACAGGCGCCCAGCGAAAGCAGACAGCGAAAAACGTTTTCTGCCCACTACGTTTCGATGCGACGCAGCGCGTCGTGTGTGCGAGCGCGCAAGCTTGCTGCGCCGCAAAAGCTAAGCACAGCTGTTGTCTCGCTCGCACGCACGCGACCAAAAGCATTGCGATGACCGCAAAAGCACTCCGAAGCAGTTTGCCGTTTTTTTTTATTTTTGGGTCCGGCCGCTGGCTAGCTAGTCGACGATTTTGGGCGCCTGGTGGGGATTACAATAATTCTACACCGAATGAGTTGTGCAATTTTTTCGTTGTTCGTGCGTGCAAACCAAATTTGTAGACACAACGAAGTCGCAGCAGAATTCAACGAGAGCGTTGAAAGCGGCCGAAAAACAAATTGGCAGGCGTGTTTTCGAATTTTTTTTTTACAAAATTCAAAATCAAACGGCATTTCTGATGTCGCATTGTGTTTTTTGTTTTTTGTTGTTGTTTGTTTCGCAACAAAGAAATATACATTTTGTATGAAAGGCAAAAGCTGTTTAAGCTCTCGCCAAAATAAACGCTTACGCTGGCTCGAATGGCGGATCGCAGCCCGCCGCCCCGCCCCGCCCTGGCGCGCCCACAAGCTGTTCGAAAATCAACACACAGACATCAAATATCGCCCTGCTAAAGCCTTTGTCGATTTTTAGCTCCCAGTACAAGAACTTTCAAAATCTGTAGCTTCCAAACAAAATTAACTTGCCAAAGTTGCAAAAGCGACAATGACGCCGACGCCGACGCCGACGCCGACGCCGACTGCGACGGCGGCAGCGACTGCGCGTGCGGCTGCAGCGCAACTTTGGTTTTCCGAAACTTGAAAAAAGTTAAATCTGCCAAGTTCACCTCCGCCGCCGAGTGCTTTTATTGCCATGTGCGATTCTTCTTATGCACGCTCTTCCCCGCCAACCGCCGCCCAACCCCACCCTTCGTGCTGTGCTCTCTTGCGCGGAAGCGTTTCAAAAAAGTTCAAGCTAATATTTTAAGTTCTAAACTTAAACTTGTTTCCGCAAGCTGCTCGAGTTACAAGCAGGCACACACACACACACACACACACACACACACAACATGCATACATATGTATGTAAGTAAAAGTTTTCTGGGTTCCATCGTGCTCAGAGCAGAGAACTTTACCCAAAAGCGTCGCATAACTTGCATCTGAAAGAACTGGGAACCAATTTTTTTTTTCTGTATAATTTTTCAAGTCGAATTGACTTAGTTGAATTTGCCAATAGATCTTTGATCATGAAACCAAAGAGCTTGAGATCTATAATTAAAAATATATATTTAAGAAATGATATGATTTCTGCATTTTTATAAATGAATCTGTTATTAGATATAAAATGTCTAAGTTACATTTCATTTCTCTGAGTCTTTCTTTATAATTTAAATATTAAAAAATAAAAAGAAATGTTTTTTAAATATTTTGCGCCTTAAAAAAAAAGTGATAATTTGTATAAACTAAAAAGAACAATTAAAAACATACTTTTTCTCTTTATTTTTTTTTTATTTATATATTTTCATCTAAAATTCCATAATATTATTGAGCTCAATTACAGCTACAAATAACTTTGTTAAATAAAAAGCACACATCTCTCTCGGGTGTGAAAAGCACAGTTAATGCTTTTCTGTGCTTGTCGGATTTGAAAGTTTTTATCAGAAAAAAGCCAAAAACTGAATCCTTATATGGGCACAGCGTCAAACAAACCCGGCCTCATCAACACGAGCTTATTTACAGTGGGACAGCCGCAAAAGTTCTGAGAAGCGAGCTTAAAAAGCGACGCTGCGAAGAATGCGACAAATTGTTATTGAATTATAATAAAATTAATATATATAGTATATAAATATATATAGTTTGTTTACATGTCGCAGCGTTCGAAATAATTAAAGCTTTGTCCGAAGCATGCGAAGACACTTTGGCAAATTATTATTTTAGCTTTTAAAAGTCTAAATTTCGATGCGCTTTAAGCTTAAGAAATGCCGGCGCAAAAAAAAAAACAATTGGTTTTTCACAACTTATTATTATTGTCAGCACGTTTAATTAACTAAGGCAGCTTATTAGATTTGTTTAGACATCCAATTGGCATAGCAGCATTGAAATCCAATTGGAGTCGCTGCTGGCGCTGCTTCCTTTTTGTTTGCGGCTCACTCGCCCGCAGTTCGACTGCGACAGCAACAACAAATGCGTCTGTCGTCTACTCCTTTTCCTTTTCGCAAAACAAAATGGATTGCTCTTTAACTAAAACAGTTAACAGGGGCTCAGCAATGGCGGCAAACATTTGCAGCGCTGCCGCCCGACGAGAACACGGCAAACATATGGCTGCTCGTATATGGTTGTCCCGCTCGCACTGCTCGCACGTAGCTCGCCGCTTTTGGCATTCACAGTTGCTCAACGAAATCGCCCGAAGTGAATCAAATGCGCATCTTACGCCTGCTGCTCGCTGCTGTGCGCCTGCTGAAAAATTCACAAAACCGCTACGAATATAACGCATTCACACTATTCACTCACTCGCTCGCTCGTGTACTCGTAGCCGTACTCGTACTCGCACTCGTACTCGCACTCGCACTCGCACTCGCTTGTTGTCATACTCTGTCGAGTGCGCATACACTGTGAGTGGGTACACAAAAACGGAGGACCCTCTCATGTAAGCCAAATAGTTCAGTTCTTAATGGGGTTTGCTCATGGGTTTTATTATGGGCTTGAATGAGTGATTTAACGAGAGGCATATTATATGGATGCATTCAATAATTATTTAAATGTAGGTTAAATATCAAATTAAGAAATATTCATACATACATATGATTCATACGAGTATATGCACATAAATATTGTGTTTACCAATTCGACTTTTTTGAGTACACTCGATATTCCAATTAGACTTTTGAATACAATATTGTAACTAACTTACAGTGGGCATGATCTACTGCTGTATTATTTATGTTTTGCTTATTTTTAATATTCTTTGACTCATCTCAAGCTTATTCATAAGTTTTTGTGCAGTTAAGCTAACTGCAACTCCAGAGCCTCTCCGTTTCTGACGCTAGTGTTGGGCAACTCCCGAATGAATGGGTCCATTCGTTTAAGTCTAGTACAGTGAGTACTGGGCCAATTCACTTGAGTTTGTTGGCTGGCACAGCATTCAAAGGGGCCACAAGTATGGTACGCTGTGCGATTTTGCTTTCGAATGGGGGATGTTGTAAAAAATGTTTGAACTGTTTTAAGTTTAAGTTTTAACGGTAACAGTGACGCAGAAATGAACAGCAGGCTGCTGAGCAAAAAACGCCAACAGTCACTGTGAATGCGAGTGCCTTGTTGAGTGTATATGTTTGTATGCGGTTACCTTGACAATGAAATAAGCTTGCACACACACACACACACACACACGCGCGCATACATGCCTGCGCACACACACAGACAAACGGCGAATCAGAGAGCCCGTGTGCAAGTTCATTACCTCTTTAACATGCGCCGCCGAGGTGAATTAGACGTAGCTGTTCTCGCGCGTGTTTTAAAGAGAGCGAGAGAGTGGGAGAGTGAGAGAGGGTTGTGTGTTGTTATTTTGCGTTTGCTGTTGTGTGTGCGTTTAGGTTTTTTGGTTACCTCAAATGCTAATTAGTTGCCCTTGAAAGAGGGACAGAGAGAGAGAGAGGAAGAGGGAGAGAGAGAGAACCTACTGAAATGTTTGCTTAGCCGCCCGTTTGTTTCCCCTCCAAGTGTTCTGTTGTTGCTCTTCTTCTTTTGCAGTGATCGCAAGCTGTTTGGCATTTGTTGTTGCTGCTGCTGCTGTTGCTGTTGCTGCTGTCAAATGTGTTTCAAAGTCAATGTCGTGTGTGCGAGAGGGAGAGGGCGAGAGAGCGAGCGCGAGCTGACCCAACCCCAATCAAACAGAATCACCTTGTTGCTTGTGTGTGCGTGCGATTTGCCTCAATCGCCCCCTGTCCGTGTGCCGAATGTTGTGTTATGTGTATTGTGTGCTTTTTTATCATCTAAGTGGCTGCGGCCTGCTCTGCCGCTGCCTGCTGCTCCCGTCATCATTTAGAACAAAATGTATATGGGGCGGGCACAGCGCACACGGAGCTTATAGTATGTATCATCATCATTGGCGTCGTCGTCGTCGTTGGCGTCGGCGTCGGCGTCGCTGCCGGCAAACGGGGCAGCGTACGCCCTACAAATTTGCTGTTCGCCTATTCGAAAATTTCACTAAAAATTGTTTACTCTCTCGCTTGGCATGAAATGAAAGTGTCCTTTGGCCCCCAATGTACGCAGTGTTCAGCTCTCTTACCCCTACTCAATGTTACAAACTTTTAACGGCGACGCTGCCCCAGTGTCTGTACGTGCGTGTGTGTGTGTGTGTGTGCGAGAGGGAGAGGGTGTGTTACACCTGCTAAAAAACAGATGGGAAGTCGATGTCATTTGGGGAAAGAATTCGGCAATGCAATTTGCGAAACTACAGAGGCGTGCGTGCAAAGGATTTCTGTACTGTGATTTTTAGCTGCACATCAATCCGTTTGTAAAGGACTTTTTGGCTTAGTCCTTGTACAAAATATGACAAAATATTCCACTATTCCCCTGTCTCAAAATAAATTAATTATAACAAAAGCTGCTCAGCTTAATGAGCTTAAAATCGGAGCGGATTGGACTTGTTGAAAAATTATCGATAGCTAAATATATTTTTAGGGAAATTAAAAGAGGTTTTTTGAATAAGAAACTTTAGGGTAGACATAATTTTTAATCTAAATAAAAAGAAAATTTTTTTTATAAAAAAAAACTAAATTCTATCTCTAAGATTCAGATCTGACACCTAGCCCACTCTACTTCAAATCGACAGATCTATTGCACAGCCAAGTGTCCATGGAGCTTTGAGAGATTAGCCGGGCTGCTTAGAGCTGCGCCACTGTTCCGTTAAATCACAGTCCTCGGACTGGGCACAGGCGTGTGACATAACGAGACAAGTGAAACGTTCGGATGGCAGCGGCGCACAGTTGGGAGGGGCAACGCGTTTATTGCTATCGCACGTTGTTTGCACTCTGCCAAGCTTTTCGGTAATGCTGTGCGCCTGTTCCGGTAGTCAAGACTTCCCCATGTCGACGTGTGTGCGCGCGCTGTGCCGTTGTTGGATTTAATGTGGCGGCTCCAATATGCTTGTCAGTCAGCCTTGAGAAGGTCTTTGGCGCCGCGCCCCTTAGCGGAGAAACAAATGTCAGCCCATGGGCTGGGCTGGGTCGGAGGGGCAGCTCCCCGTTTAATGTTCCCCAATTGCGCGTTCCCCACACGCTGACGGGCTCCTCTGTCTATGTTTTCTGTTAGCCCGCGCTGTTAGTAGCCATCTTTTTCGATTTTTTGCTCAATCACAGATGACTGGCAAAATGGAATTCGCGGTTTTTACAGGGGCGCGGGGGAGAGTACTCATGGAGCACTCTATTCATCTGCCACCCTGTTTGTCTAGCGTTGGGTATCTCTGTATGTGTGTGTGCGTGTGTCTGCGTTTCACTTTGCGCTGTACGACTTCTGTTTTCCTGGTGTAATTAAGCAAACGAAATATAATAATAATAAATTATAATTTTAGAAGGCGTGCCACAAAACGTTTAAACCCCAAAACCGTAACTCAAACCAATTTTTTAAATGTAGCTCAATATAAAATATTATTTTATTTATGGGCACAACAAACACACGCGCACACAAACACGCACACACACACACACATACACACACAGATGCACACGTGAACTATGTGGCTATTATTATGCGATTATTTGGTTTGTATGTTTAAAATATAAATGAACAGGCTTCAAGAAATGCCATGCGACAACAAATTGTACATACAGAAAGAAAAAAATGCGATTACATACGCTTTCGCCATAAAATTATATGTAATTCGAAAGTTGCCGCCTTTTGTTATGTTAATTTTACAGCGATCCCTCGCAAATGTTATTGTGCATGTGCAAGTGTGCGTGTCTCTCTCTCTCTCTCTCTCTGTGTAATGTGGCAACTCCAAACTAAACTCGTGGCCAGCTTCAGGCCGCAGTTCCCAGCTCGCAGCGCCCAGCACCAACTCCAGCTTCAGCTCCAGCTCCAACTCCAACTCTAGCCGCATCTATCCACCTGGCTGGGCGTAAAGTTGCGTCCTTTTTTTTGCTATTTCTATGAAAACTTGGTAGCTGCTGCGTTCGCTTCTAATGATTTTCTATGTTAACGCCAAATTTGAATGGCGATTGCGACGCCGCCGCTGCCGCTCGCCATTCGTGTTAAATCTGTGAAAAATGTACGTTCCGCGAACTTTGCGTCATGCGATGTTAATTCAATAGGCGTACAGCACTGCTCAAACGCTGCCTGAGACGTAACGTCAATGGCCGAGACTGGTGTGCGAGCGAGATGGCAATGTGTGGGAAGGTCGTCCAACTTGCTTAGCGTACGTCTCTCTGTTGCTGTGTGTGTGTGTGTGTGTGTGCATATGTGTGTCTATATGTGTTTGCCTGGCATGCCTGTATCTGTTATCTGTTATCCGTCTGCTTGTGAGCGAAGCAGTGTGACCGTTTATGTGCCTGCCCGCCTCTCTGTGTGCGTGTGCGTGTGTGTTTGTGTTTGTATTGCTTTTTTGGGGCCAATGTACGCAGAGTTGAGTGCATTGCACTCTCTGCTGGCGCCCTGCTTTGTGCCAGTGCGCATTTTGCAGCGGGTGTATTTGGCAGAGTCTTTTGCAGGTTATGTTCGCTTAACAGTGTTTATATTTTGCAATGTTATTATTTGTATTTTTGATAATAATTTAATAATTATTATTAAGCTTTATTAACCAAGTTGTGCAACAAAAAGTCAGTATTGCAAATTTTTTCTTGCACTACGTATCTCTTTATTACACTACAAAAATTTTTAAAAAATCTTCTAAAAAAAAAAAAAAAAATAATCCAAAAAATTAAATTCGTCAACTCAGCATAATGATTCTAGAATTATCATGTTCAAAACGTGCCATATCCATTAAAACGTCGTATGCCTTCAAATGACATCCAGAATACCAGAAACCAGGGACCACAGCGTATCCAATAGGGCATAAAACCCTTATAAATGGCCATTGGGCCCTCCTCCTTAACCAATTGTTGCAGGCAATCTATGCTGTTCTTATAGCGCAATGGTCTGCCCTGATCATCGACGGGCTGATTCATGATGCGCGACTTGACCACATCCGCCGGACAGCTGAGCGCCGAGCAGAAAAAACCCGCCACCATGGCGGCCAGAAATTGCACCAGCAAATTTTCCTCGCTATTCAGAAGTTTCTTGATATTGCGCTTGCCCAAATCATAGAAGCTAATGCCGCCTGATGGAGCAGCAAAACAATAACCTATTCAGTGTCATGCGGATAATGTGAGGCGTCTTCTTACCAAGGGAAAAGAGGGAGGCACGCATTATATTGGGACCGAGGCCGCGATACAAACTGCGCAGTCCGCCCTGGGAATAGATGAATTGCAGTGCCTGCATGATGCCGGTGGAACGTGGCGGCATTCCCAGCAGGATGCGCTTGCTCTCCATCTGCATTTGCAGCTTGACCAAATCCAAAGGATTGCTGGCGATCGTGGATAAAGCGCCAGATACGATGCCCGCCAGCATTGTGCAGGGCATGCTGATGGTAACCTTGTCGTCGGTTCGCACAGACCATTTCGAACGGAGATAGTCATAGGAGCCGATCTTGAGGCCGGACACAAACGAATGTCGCAGCACCAGCGCCGAGAAGCCGCTATATAGCTTCAGGAAACCCTCCTCCTTGATGACGCCCAGCGCCGTGCCGAAGAGTCCACGATACTTGGCCATATTGGCGTACGGATTGCCGTGCTCGCCCTGGATTTGCAGACGCGTCTTTGTCACGTCCAGTGGATACACAATTAAATCGGCATTGACAGCGGACAAAAAGGAAGTAATACAGATCTCCACCAGCCGCGATGTCTCGTAGTTTACTACGTTATTTACCTCGACCGCGCTGTACCCTTCCAGCGGCCATCTATCCGGCTTACCCATTGGTTCTGCGCTATCTATTCTGGAAATAGGTGACTTTCAATTTAATCAAACACATAAATATTTTGAAAACTCAATTTAAGAAATACAAAACTTAAAATGCAAGAACTTTTTGATTTAAATACGCATGCTTATCCGACTATTCGACACAAACATGTCCTTTAAAAACAGAATTCCCAGTATTCCAAGACCTAAAAACTGGTTCGAACCAGCTTTCTACTTGGTGCGTGTCTTCATGCAGCCCAGGCTTTGGTTCAAAAGTCGAATCCCTGATTGCCCGCTGCCCGTTGTACTGAAAATATATCAAGCCATATATATATATTTTTATATACAAATTGCGGGCTATATATATATTTTTTGATTTCTGAAAACATGAACAGAACTATGTAAATCTATTGGAATACTTTCTTCGTAATTTCTTACACATTTCGTGAACTATCAGAAGACCTTCTCCATGGAAAATTCACGAATTAGATCTCTCCATTGTATCTGATAATACATATGCTATAAATCCGACCATAACATATATAGAAAAACTAAACTGAGCTTGTAGGGCAGATCTATATATTTGCCGTGAACAATTTGAATAGCCTTCACAACATTTTAAGCGTATTCCAGCTGCGCTCCATTCATAGAATTTCCCCTTCTTACGTAGAGCTCTTTGGTGCGGTGCTCCGGTTACGTACATATATTATCTTGGGCGCAGAGCGTTGCCAGCTGCGCGAAAGTCGGCGCTCAGACAATTCTGTTGGTGTCGTGTAATTAAGTTAGTGTAGATGTAAGCGAGTACTTGCATCGTAGGTACTTACTAAATATGTTAGCTTATGGGCACCGCCCATCGATTGTAGGCACCTGCACCCGCCCCGCCCCGCCCCGCCCCTGCGCACTTCGCTACGCTGTGCGGCGCAATTACGACGTCGCTTCGTTGCAATTTCTTCTATGTGCGCGTAGCTGCAGCTATTGCGCCCTCTCCCGCTCCCGCTCCCGCTCCCTCTCTGACTATCTCAAGCTGTATATATATATATATATATATGTGTGTGTGCTGGTGTGTGCAGCTCCTCCGCCAAGCTGTTTGCGTGGAAAATTGTATGCGCCGCCGCCCCCCGCTGCGCACATTTGAAAAATGCATCTCCACTGCGCAGGGGGTGGGGGGGCTGTTGCCGAGCCTATGGGTAGCCTAGTTTGACTGCTTGGAAAAACTCTTGGTTTGCTGTATTAGATGGCCAACATCGCCTAGCCCGTACGGAGAGCGCAGACAGCATAGACCAACGACCAACTGGTTCCGTCTATTGCTCGTTTTGTGCTCAAAAGAAAAATCCTCCTGTCCACGCTTTCCCCCAAATCCAGTAGGAGGCATTGGCCAGCAGCAGCAGCGGCAGCGAGTTGGTCTAGGAGCCCCAGCCGTTTCATGCATCATAGTGCCTGCAAAAGGTATGCGCTCATGTCCCCTACATACACACTCACACCAGCGCACGCGTACCGATGAAAAATGGTTGAAAAAAGTTTGAAAAAAAAACGTTGTATGATTTTTCTTCGCCAATATTTTGTAACAGAGCCGCAGCATTGAGCAAAAGACGGCAACGACATTTGTAACAAAAATGCACGCAGCGAGCAGAGAGCACAATACATGCATACACACACAGAAACCAGCACACACACACACACACGCACACACACAGAGGCGCGCGTGCATCAACAAAACTCAGTTTTGTTTCTTTTTTCTTATTTCTTACTATGGCCCCTCCAGCGGTTCCCCTGCTCAATGCACATGGGCCAACAGTTGCTGCTGCTGTTGTTTTTTTTTGTTGCTGCACTCGCCTTGTCGCCGCTAAGCCAATTGGGAGGCATGCTTGCTTCTCTGTGTTAGTGTGTGTGTGTTTTTGTTTGTGCATTGCAGCTTTTTACGTTTTTCGTGAGCGAGCGACTGAGCGAGAACAGTTTAAGAGAGATATAGAGTACAACAAACACAATGCAATTGTGAACATACATAGCTAGCGCTACAGTGTCTCAAAATCACAAACATCATAATATTTTATAAAAATCATATAAACAAACAATTTTGCTGTAAGAAATCTATAAATTAATAATATTTCCATACTTATGATCATGAAACTTAACAAAATTGATTTAACTTGTGCTCAAAAACTGTCTGCATTATGTTTCGCTAGTTACAAATAGCATTGTGCCACTGTGCTCGAGCAATTGCATTCTCCTTTACTCACACTCACACTCACAAGCACACGCACACACACACATACACTGACCGCTGCACTGAAGAAGAGCAGGAGAGGGAGATGCATATTAAGATAATAGTGGGGCCGGGCCGCAATGCACTTTTTGGATTTGGACACATCGACAGCATCTCGCTGCTCGCTCCAACTACCCCCAGTACACATACAACGAAAGAGACGTAGGCATTGACAGCGGCGTGCAGCAAACTGAGCACGGTGACGTCGCAGCCCCCAACGTGAGATGTTCATGTTGAATGCCTTTGAGTGCACAATTCACAGTCCGGACAGCGAGATTGGCCGCCAGGCGGGCGCACCTGCCCCGCCCAAGTCTCACTCTCTCTCTCATTCTCTCCGACACGCACACATGTAAGCGTACAAAAAAAAAAAAATCGTTTTTTAGCCGTTTGCTTTAATACCCTGTAGCCGTATAATGTGGTAGGCGGTGTAGGGGGCTCTGTTTGTTACCAACAAAAGGATGCACATAATATAATCGAAAGATGAGCCGGTCAAAAAACAATCTTAAAAACCCTGGGGTCCTTAAGAGCTACGTCTATTATAAGAACACTTTTTTACAGGATTAAGTCTATGTTAAGTGCATCTCAGTTAAAAGTACAGGGTATCATTTAGTCGAACACACTCAATCGGAGCCAAGACACTTGTTGCTTTAGCCAAAGTGCAACGCGGCTACAAGTTCTGGGCTCCTTTTCCCAATGTAACACAACCATGCACCATGCGAGCGACGATTGCCCCAGGGCTGGCATTAGCATTACGACAACGATTACGTGGATGTGGATATGGCAAACGGCGCTTTACAGTTTTACAGCAAGCACGTGAACGTCATCGGAACGAACCGTGGCGTAAGGCACAACTAAACAGCATTTGGGTCCATTACACGTTTCAGCACCAGCTGAATTTGACATACGGGTGAGGGGGGCAGGGGTTGGGTGGACCTAGTTGCTTTTTACGGCCGTGTCCGGCGGCTGGCAACAACTCCTGCTCTGGTGCTGCGTCATCGTCGGCGTCGTCGTCGCCAGCTGCGTGCACAAAAGTAACAAAATGTACTGAATGTCAACAGGCTCGCAGCAGCAAGCAGAGCGTCGATTTTACATTACAATCGCTGTACAATCGACGCTCGGTCTCTGTACACGCTCATTGCGCGCTCGTTTGCCTTGCTGCCTCCCACCACGCCTCTGGCCTACTCCTCGCACTTCACAGTGTGCGCTCTGTTTGTGTCTGTCTGTCTATGTGTGTGTGTGTGTGTCTGTGTTTGTATTCGCCGCGTTACTTGCGCGCGTGCTCCCCACTCCACCCAACCGCACACACAGATAAGTAATAACGGCTCCACTCTCCACTGACGCAGTTGTTTTTTTCTTCTCGTTATGTACTTTTTGTTCTTTCATCGCAGCGCCCCTTTTAGCGGGGCCTTTGCTCTCGTTTGCTTTATCACTCATGACGCTGTTTTAAAGCCTTTGCTCATCGCTTACATGTTTGTGTGAGTGTGTGAGCACACCAACACACACACACACACACACATACGTAGA